AATTTTCTACTAAATGAGCAGAAAAATGAATATTTTATGCATATGTTCCATGAAATATAATTGAAATTTTAAGAGTATCGATAAGCAATGAGAAAAATACATGGTAATTTAGTTGTCATTTTTTACAGAGTATGGCTTTTGCATGCAGCCGAAAAAAAGTTCATTCTAAGGCCGGTATCCTGAGGTAACTGAATTATTATAGAATTATGCTGCATGAGGATTAATTTTACAATCCTACTTAAGTAATCTTTTCGAAACGAAAACGCATTTCGGAATTCCGGTTGACATTTCATGAGTTAGCCCATGTACTGAATGCGTGCTGACATTCGAAGGGGCAGTAAGGACGAATATCTTTCGCATATCCCGACTGATTGTCAGACAATAAGTTTATTCTAATAGTCCCTATCTTAGTTCACACTTTGAACGTAAATTAAAATAGTGGCCTGATCAGTCTTGTTTCAAAACGTGAACTCCTGTCACACTGGCGTTGATAAATATCAGTAAGGTTCAAGTAAGTGTTTTCTGTCTACAGACTATGCGCAGTCTCATATAACCTACTTCGAGGTGGCAGGTCATGTTATTCTGATCAACACTAGTCCGAAATGCGACGTCAATCAATCGCTCTGAACGCGTGCATTTGTGTGGGTCTTGTTGTTATAGTTCTAAAAAGATATTTTACGTACTTGTTTATAAAAACCTACTTTCTCTCGTGGAAGTTGACCAATGACTGGAAAATGCCGTTGTGGCCTTGTATAGCCGAACAATATTAAACTGTAAGTCTTCTGTTAAGGTCTCTGTAAGGATATCCGCAAAGAAGATATCTGACAGGAGATTGCTTAGAAATAATACTTCCTGGATAAGTCTGATATATCTACGTTAGAACATGGCCAAAGTTGTTTCCCATTGAAAGATAGTGTTAGACTAACAGTGCAGAATCCGATAATTAATGGTAAACCCTGCCCAACCTTGACTTTGATGGGTTGTGACTGTTCCAATGATTACTAGATCCATTATTGTGAGTACATATTGCACAGAGCCAACCTCCCACACCCTTCCACCTTTCATGGTTTGCAAATTGGAGCAGCATGCAGATTCGGTCGAACCGACCGTATATGGCACAGTAGCTGATGAAGCATGCCGCTCGCACACTACAAGCGGTCTATTCGTTTACCTGACACCGACCGCAGGTTGGACATTCGGAGGAGGTCGTACGGTTGGGAGGCGTCAAGTAACAAAAATAAGAAATGATGGATTGAGCTCGGATCTCAGGATAGAACAGGCCACAAACTTCACCTAACTCGGCTACGCGATACTAAGCCGTCCAGCAAGTCTGGGAATGAACTCTTGCCTACTGACTGATGAGCCATTTGAGGTCGACATTTTATGCGATATTATCGAACTGATTATTTTTCTGACAGGACTCATGTTCCGACGGCAGAATGACAAGAAAATAATGGTACATGGCAGTTTACAATCCACCCATATGTGTATGCTGACTCTCAGGGGGGTGGGGGGTAGGACAGGGTATTTCGTGTGAACCCCGCCTAATCATCAGCAATCTACGTAAGCCAGTGCCAATCTGTCTGCCGTTGGTTTGCATTTTAATGGGCATTTTGAATAGACCAGTTAACTTGCTGCGTGACTGTAAATATATGGTTTTGCTTTAAAAGACAGCCCTCCATTTTAGAATTGTGCAGAATACCAGTTTGGTTCAGGTGGGTGACTTCTGTCCGCGGGCTATGCAGATTCTCACTTGGCATGTTTCGACATGGTAGGCTACATTTTCCCAATCCAGCCTAGTCATCGGTCAGCGCGAATAAAATTTCAAATCTCTGTCAAGAGGAGAACGCATGTTTACTCTTGCGGGTTACACATCTACAGCCCTGAAAATATCCTGCCTCTAATATCTAACCTTTAGTAGAGGCATTTGATCTGCGAGGTGGAGTTATAATGACTCGTTCGAATATCCCGGCATTCTTGTAATTTTAGATCACTAGTAACACAAGCAGCTTTATATGTATATAATTTAGTCTCCAAATCGAAAATGACATGAATGTTTTAGTTTCAGCAGGGAGGCAGTTAACTTACTTAATGTCTGACATAAATCGAAATGCAAGGCCGAGTGTTGAGTTGATGGTGCAAATGCCTACAATTACTGTCAAATCTGTTTAAGCCATCATCGATCAAAATTTGCCCAGATAAATTATTGCGAAGGGAATTTTCACAGACCCCACCTCCTGCCACATACTTCCACCGAGGGCCTACAAGTTAAACATTCTCTCAGAGTGACTTGAACTGGCTGGAGGTGAGATCTGACACGGCAGCTGACGAAAGATTTAAGCTCCACCTCCCACGGATCAAACACGATCTGGGCGACAAGTTGACCCTAACCACATCTCGTTCAGTCGGATGTCACATGGATAGAAAGCGTCATGTGACGAAATTCAGAGGTGATTGCTTCAGTCTCGTCCTCATGGCTGATGAAATCACAATCTTCGCGATTAAAACATGCTTTACACTGTATAAGTACCTATATGAGTCTCTTTTATCAGCGAAAAGATCGACCATGTAGCTCGCGCATTGAACTCCTATACGTTAGTGGAACTGTCATACCGACTGGCAAACCGTTCGACCACGACGTCTAGCATTTTATGCACGCATTCGCTTTTCCAATATGGGCAAGTTTTTAAGGACATTGATTTGCCATAAATTTGCCTGGGATAAAACTGGCATTGTTGGTGTCTCGTCGTCTAGAATGGCCGTAAAATTTTTGGAAGTCACATATCTCGACGAATCATGCGTTACTCTGCAAATTGAACTTGACTCGGTTTGCAATATTCTCATGGAAGGCTGACCATTTGCCAGTGCGACTTGATCAGTAGTCAGCTGAAGAATGCAACCCACACCTTGGGAATTTGTACAGGATAATACTTACTGCTTTATCATTAGTTGGAAATTTCTATGGTTTGAGTCTAATTGTTCTACTCGGATTAAACAGGAACATAAGCAAATAGTTCGGAGTGGTCGACAATCCCAAATAACTACTTGTTGTCTATGATTCGCTTATTTGGGAATGCGACAGAATTGATGCATCTACTAACAAAGGGCATCGGTTTTTGCGCTGTATGTCGGGCGCTAACGATAGGACATTGCGGTTGTGGCTCAGTAGCTGAGGCGTTTTAGTAATAACTAAATGAACGCTGGATCGAGCCTCGGTTGTGTTAGGCATGGGAGTAGATATTGCTGGCTGCTAACTGCTAATAAGTCAGAAGTGGCCATATAAGTCTCCCTTATCTTCGCCGGCAACCACCTTATGTTCATGTATGAATATAGCAGAGGGGCATACCGATCGCGTTTCAGGACATACATGGGCTTTGTCAGCCAAATTGCTTCACATGCACGCGCCACGGGAAGCTTTATCTAAGTGGTCAAGTGGAGAAAAGTCAAAATTCTGTCTCGCGATCCCCTATGTAAAGAACGCTTTAGAGGCAAGGGCAAAAATCTTAAAATCTTTTAGGGTTGCCATGGCTCATAAAATAGAATACTCATTTAAACAGCAAATCATAGGACTCAAAGACCCGCTGCAGGTAACAGAGCAGTAGACGGTTGTTTACGGCATACCAAGCCATAGTTGCACTTCCAGATATGCTGGTGAAACGGGCAAGCGCTTGACGCAAGACTGCACGAACATCAACTTGCAGTCAACCGGACGGACAAGCTGTCTTTTGTCTATGTCCACATAAAACAGTTGAACCCCATTCAGGAAGGAGGCCTGATCGCAGTGACAGAAGCTTTATTAGCCTGGCGTTTCGGATTCTTGTTTGGACACACCATCAGAGACAAAAAACAGATACGCGTGATTCATACACAAGGGTCTGCAGCATTTGTGGGATGCAGTAACCCTGCCAAGGCATGCCTATGAATATTCACGGTTCCCTCCTTCATCAGGGATCGTTGCACGTGGTGTGAAGGCTGTTTGATGGCCGAAATTCGCGTCCTTAATTGCTAAAATTTCATCACGTGCGTTGGATGTCGGCGTGCTCACTGCGCGATTATCTGACGCACTGACCCTGGTTTTGGAAAAAGTGATCACCTCTGCGCTCCCCGCCTGTCCAATTACACCGCCTAAACGAAGTCTCAGCACAAGATATGGAATGAGAAGATCACTGCACCTGTTAATAGACTGTGCGGCCAGCAAACCATGACTCAAGCGGCTCCCGGCTCAGGCGGTTGTCACCTCTTGCGAGAATTTCGGCCTCATCGAATTTGAATGTGTGGCCGAATCTCGTCAAATGAGCCGCAACTTGAGAGCTAGCGTCATTTCTCCCCACTGCTGCAGCGTGTTCGGCCATTCGCATTCGGAGCTGTCTTCCGGTTTCTTCGAAGTAGTTGCTTTGTTCGCAACCTCACCAGAACCGATAAACGCCTCTTGCCGTGGCAGAGGGTATTTCGGTTGGTTGCCTCCGGCCTGCGTGCAACTCCAACCCCAAGTGGTGCGAAAAGGCGGCCGACAGCTTCCGAAAAGTTCTTCAAATACGGAAGTGCTCGCCAAATTTGGTGTCCGTGCGGTTAGGCCTTTCGTCCCTTTTGCGTATGCACTGGTTGACGAAGCTGCGCGGGTAGCCACTGGCTTTGAATACCCGTCGGAGGTATTGTAGTTCGGCAATTTTGTCTTCCTGCTCACTACAGTGTGTTTTGACGCGCCGATAGGGCGTCCTTACGCAACTGCATTTGTGGCTGATTGGTTGGTTGCCGTTAAAGTTCAGTATTTGCATCGTAGTTGTCGCTTTCCTGAACACTTTGGCTTTTAGTCCACTACAATCTTTGCGGCATACGAGGACATCCTGGAGGGCCAGCTGGTTGTTCTCTTCCTCTTCCATCGTAAATTGTATGTCCGGGAAGACGGCGTTGAGAAGTTCCTTGAATGTCAGCAGTTGATTCCGGTCGATAACGACGAAAGTATCATTCAGATACCAGGCCCAGAACTTCGGTCTGTGGTGTTAGAAGACCAGCGACTCTAACTGTTGCAGGACCGCCTCGGCGATGGATGCCGAAATCGGCGAACCCATTGCTGTGCCCTTCACCTCTTCGTAGATTGTTCCGTCGAACGCGAAGTACGTCCTGAGACAGAACTTCAGGAGCTGAAGGAATTTGGCGTGTCCAAGACGATTCTCCATTTCATCGTATTTGCTTTGTGGTAGCAACTCGATTGTCTCGATCGCCAGGTCCTGGGGAATAGAAGTAAAAAGGGATGTAACATCAAAAGATACCATGACCTCACTTGGATGGAGGCTTACCCCTTTGAGTTTCTCCAGGAAGTGTGCTGACTAAGAGACCGTGATGTCTGTCTTAGCGGTCAGGAACTTGAGACGCCGGTACAGCTACTTAGCCGGTCCGTACGTTGGAGTACCTTTGAGCGACACGATGGGTCGGAGAGGAGCGCCGTCTTTGTGCACCTTCGGGAGGCCGTAGAATCGGGCCAAAGCCCTATCTTGGGGTTTCGCCATGCGTCTGTCCGTCGGTTTTATTGCACCTGGGTTCTCAAAGGCCAACAACGTAACATTAATTTCTCGTGTTAGCGTTTTTACAGGGTTCGTTGCACATGGGACAGGGAACTGACAGTCCTTCAGTAAACCCTTGGATTTTTGAAGGTAATCTGTCCTGTCGAGTACAACCGTGGAGCGCCCCTTGTCTGCTGGCACGATGACCAGGCCTTCGTGGGCCACGAACCTGCTAACGTGGCTTGAACATTGATCAAAGGCCATAGATTATGCATATCCAGTAGATGTCATTCACTTTGGCTTCAGCAAGGCATTTAATTGCGTTCCGCATAAGCGCCTCGCTCAAAAGTTTTCAAACGTAAAGATAAAAGGAAATCACCTGAACTAGATTTAAGACTCCCTAAACGGTAGTAGACAAAAAAGTTTCTGCGAGTGGCCAATGCTCACAATGGGCGCCTATTAAAAGTGGCGTCCAAAAAGAGTCAGTTCTTGGGACGTTCCCATTCATTATCTATGTAAACGATCTAGTACGGGAAGATAAATTGGACATAGTGCTCTTTGCGGATGATAGTTATCTGTGGGGGGTGATAAAAAATAAAGAACGCCCAGATATTACAAGTGGACATAGAGGATATGCATGCATGGAGGGAGAACTGTTGCATAAAATTCAAAGCAAGATTGTGTGGAAATTCATATAGTATCATCAAGGCGAAAAATAACTACACACTCAGGACAAAGTTTCAGTTGATAAGAAGACTTTATCTGGATGTTGGCAGGGAAGATCTTTAAAATGTCATCAAAAACTAACTCAACGGACACGATGACCACCTGAGAAAGGAACTGTGCCACACCAATCAACGTTCATACATTTTTTTTATCTCAGAGGTTCATTCGCCAATGGAATTATTTGCCGACGTATGGCGTTAATTCCCCTACCGTGGGTGTGCACAAGCGACGTCTGGAAAATCACCTGCTAAAGGGTAACCCGAACTGCCCAAGCCTGATCTATATGATTACTGAAATGGCTATCAACATACTACTAACATGAATTCAATAGATCATGTTTTAAGCAGTATGTTACTATCGACAAAGACAAGAGGGACTGGAATGGACGGTGAGCGTCCCCTACCATCAGATCCTTGTGTGTACATTAACCATCCCCTAAATGGAAACGTACACAGTCCAACTGAAGTCAACGATATTTTCGCAGTTATTTCGCAAATGCCACACATTTTCTAATTTACGTCCTACAACTAGATTAAAGCCTTATGCAAACTAAACTTGCATGCAACATTTTTGCAATTTAACTTTTTTCCTTCACATCTTTACCGATCAAATGGAGTTTTCAGGGCCACTGTCATTTTCTCCAAACATACAGACTGATAGTCCACCAGTCGGCCATTTGACACAAACACATAAGGTTGATTACGAGATCTAACTTTTGTCGATAGTTAGACAACTCTCAGACCAGGCAATTTTGCGCCTGATGAAAAATTCAAACGCATGTGATAGTGAGTGAGATTCACTCCCTCTTCCCTCACTGTGACTATTCAGTTGTCCGAACCAGGCAAATAACAGACGCTGCTAGCGGTCTCAGTAGATGATAGAACGAAGTTTGGTTCTGTAAGCCTCCCTGAAAGATATCATATGGTTAGCGTTCTAAAAAAATTGGGTAGATGCGAATACGCTGACTTTACAAAGATCGCTTTTTGCGTCTTTGCAACCATTTTAATCCAGCGAGTGACTGCGGCACGGGGGAGGAGTGCTTAGAGGCCAGCCTCGGTTACTTCAGATATCAGCTCTCTCTGTACCTGCTTCGAGCCCTGTTTGCGCCCTCTTTATTATCTCAATCGGTTAGATGGCAGTTCGTAGTCCGCAATGGGGAAGCTGACGGTGAGGTTCCTGTCTTACGGGAAAGGTTGGGGAGAGGGTTCATGCGGGTGGGCTAAATAGAAGAGCTGGTTAAAGAATGATAGAGTTTTTGGTAAAAAGAAAAGTTTCCGGAGAAAAGGTTTGGAAATGTTAAACGGATGCAATAATGAAGGAAATACAAAAAATCCCGCGGAAAACAGCACAGCCTTCATACCTCATACCCAAAACCTAGATCTGAGGCTCTAAGACTAATCCGAAAAACCCTAACTCTTACCTTGGCCCTTACTCTAACCTCAACAATGAACCCTAACCCTAACCTTAACTATAAAACCTACACCTAACCTTAACTGTAACCCTAATACATAACGGTAACCTTAACCCTAAAGCATAACCCCAAAGCCCTAACATCAACCCCAAACCCAAATCATGCTACGAAAACCTAACTCTAACCTTCAACAAAAAGCCTAACCCTCACCGTGACTGTAAACCTATCTCTAAGCCTAAACTTTACCATGAACTATAACCCTCACCTTAACCCTAAAACCTAAACCTAAGCATCACAACCCAACAGTAAATGGAGTCCTAAAACGTAACACTAACCCTAACCTTAACCCGTTAACCTAACCGTGATGCTAAAGCCTAGCCCTAATCTTAACATTAAAACCGACCCCAAACCACAACCTTAAACCTGAAACCTAACCCTAAAGACCTAAGCCTAACCCCAAACCATAAAGTTAATACGGAGACCTAACCCTAATCTTAACCCTAAAATCCAACCCTGACCGTGGCCGTAAAACTTAACTCTAAGCCCTTAAACCAAACCGAAACCGAAATCCTAAAAACCAAAACTTGCCCAATCCTAACCCTAGCCTTAAGCTTAACCTTAAACCTAAACCTAACCTTACACTTATCCCTGATCCTAACAGAAACCTTAACGCTAATCCTAACCCTAATCGGAATCTTATTCATAACCATAGCCCTTACTCTAAAACATATTGGCAACCGTAATACTGAAAGTTATTCGTAAAATCCAACCCTAACCAGGAAACCTTACCCGGAAGTCCTAACCCCAACCCGATAATCGAAAACCGTAAACCGGACCCCAATCCCAACCTTTACCCTAAAACCGAAGCCGAGTGTTCTAATCCTAACCCAGAAATCCCTAACATTAACCCTAAAGACGAACGCCATCCCTAAAGCCAAACCCTGAGCGTAAACCTAAATCTTAACCCTAAACCTAATACTGAAACCTGATCCTAAAACGCAAACCCCAATCCTAAAACTCAACATACTCCTAACCCTAAACCTCACTAAACCCAACAGCCTGACCGAAACGGGCGCCTTCCTAATTCAGTAGAAGCAGACCTACGGATAACAAGTTCCCTAGACAAGGTAAGTGTACCTACTGATAACAAGTAAGTACGTCGACAGCATCAACGTATAATGCCTGGCTTGGAAATGCGATCTTTCCTCTCAATCCGGCTAGCGGCCAAATAGACTTTCTAATGGAGTTGTTTAGATGGTGCGGAACTCCGTCGACTCCACCACAGTGGCCATGCACAGCGAATTCCCACGCGGCTCCCTCCATGGCCTTCCAGTCGTGAATGTGCCCTCCTAATCCAGCAGGTGGCTGCGACTGGGAGATAGTGTGCACTTACCACCTTCACTCGCTTCCCTGCGCGTGCTTCGAGCTCTGTTAGAGTTCCCTTTCCACTTCCTAATCCAACGAGTGGCTAAGTTAGGCATGTTAACTAATATTGTTTTAGTAAGCTCACCATATGGTATCAATCAAGAAGGGTTGTAGGACCAAACATCGTCAAAAATTTTGTGAACCCGTTTGGACGTTCTTTCTAAGATAGCAGAAGTTTGTCAGCTTATTTAACTCGTTCGAATTGTCGGCAAGGATATGGTCTATGATCGGAGTTACTTACTCAGGGGATAGTTTGTGTTGATTAAAAGACCTCAAAATGTACAAGCTTTGTGATAGTATTGTCACCATTTAAAAGGGGACACCACTTTTACCATTTGATGACAGAGCCAATGCAATACGTCTATGCGTGTTACACATGAGCCGGCCTCCTATGCATCACATCATGTTTTCACAGAGGGAGTGCACTACTCGGATATTGCATGTGTCTGAATACCGTGGAATCAACATGAAGAAAGGGCCAAAGACGAGGTCTCTAATTTACGTTAAAGATGCCCTTTTTATGAAATGTCTTGCGTGACGTGGGCCCAGGCTCGTGTGTGGTTTATGGGTTGGTGAGGAGACGTACAACTATAGGGTGTAGTTTGTGATGGTTTACCGGATATTTGTGTGGCGACACATATGACTGACTGACTCTGCGATGACTGAGGGTGCGCGATCAGGGAGGGCGACGGAGGAATGTTGATGTTCCTGCCTCTGATTGGCCAATCTCGGTGTCAGAGATTCCAAAGTGACCGAGCAGGCCAGTGCGCAGTGGGCATGTGAGTAGTATATTTTGGTATTTGTGATGTTAGTACCAGGTGGCGAGAAATTTGTCACGGATCGTTCTGACGGAGCTCACTGGTTCCGTTGTGCCTTAAGGGCTCTCTCTCTAGCCCTGAAGATGAGGGGGTTGTCGGATGTGCAGTCCACGTTTGACAAGTAGACATTACGGTGAATTCCTGTGTAATAGATGAGTATATGGTCGAATAGGCCCATGCAGTGAATAAATGTGTGCTGTTAGTGTAGGCAGTGGAGCCGGGTCCCAGCCAATGGTTCGCGGGTTTCAACACGATGGATTCGTAAGTGACTCACAGGGTCGATGCGCGATGCGATAATGCGGTCACGCCGAAGACAGTTCGAAATCGAGTCCGCATTGCTGATGACGGTGATAGTTCGGGGGAAGTCAGGGGTGTTCTTAGTTCTGGAAGAAATGCAAGGGGCGATATTCATCGTTAATGGCATCGCGGGTTTGTGGTGACGATGATGCAGATTGTGGGTGACATTGGCAGCAGTAACAGTACATGAGGAGTGGGATCACTGTTGTCATGGTCCACTAGGGTTTGGTACAGAGGTGACAATGGGGGCGTTTGCGGAGGCAGTAAGGGGGTTATTGTGTTGTTGTTGGTCTAGGTCCGCAGATGTCAGACGAAACTGATAGACTCACAGCGGACACTCTTTGGAATTGGCGGAACATTGGGTTTGGAAGTCCGCGGCATTTAAGACGCGGTGACAACGTGTTTGCTTCATACGCTGCTGCCCCCATTCTTTACTGCCCTTCTTCAGGACAGTCAATCCTGGTCGAGATCATTCGTGTGTCGGGGTTGCTTTAAATATCTTTGAGGCAGGTCCATAGAGTGTCCTTGTGGCGTCCTTTTAACCTCCTTGTCCTCAAGCACAGGCAACGGCATTGCCGTAGAAGAATTGACTTGACAGGCGCTCCTGATTCATCCTTGCGAGATGGTTGCTACACCGTAGTTGTAACTGTTTCAGCATGGCGTAGATGCTGATGATTCCTGTCCGACCCAGGATTTCCATTTCTGATATCTTGTTCCGTCACCCCAATAATAATATTCTTCGGAGACTGCTGAGGTGGGAATAGCTGAACTTATTGACTTGGCTAGAGTAAACGGTCCATGTCTCCGCTCCCATAGCGTAATGTCTTCAAGATTACCGCTCCGTACATCTTGAGTTTGACGTCTAGGTGAAGCCCTCGGAGATCCCGCAATGAGATCTGAAACCGACTAAATGAGTGATTGACCTTTGAGATCCCTTGGACCACTTCATATTCGGACCTAATATTTCATGGGACTGTGCTGCCCACGTATTTATGTTTGTCTGAAGTGGCGAGTCGAGCGCGGGCTGATGTAAAACCGCTGTCTTTTCTGCGTTGATGGCCATTTATAATTTGGCGCAGACAGAGGTGAAAAAGTCTATGCTTCCTTGAGTGACCCCTTCTGTAGTTGTATTAAATGTACTGTTTACTGCTACTCTTTACTTTCTGCCAACAAACTTTTTTCACTCTCAATGGCAGAACAAACGGGCAGATCAAAGGAATACCGATGGGTTCGTCGATATCCAGCCAGATTGCGAAACTATTCTTTCAGGAGCTAGAAAAAGTCGTCTTCGAACACAATGAACTTGCTTTTTGGAGTCCGTATGCAGAGGACACGTTTGTTATAATTAAGAAGAGCAGACTTTCAAGACCTGCTTAATGACAGCTCCGCCAAAATTTAGTGCATAAGGGAAGAAGAGCATGTCGAATAGTGGCCTTTCTTTGACGCTATCGTCACACGCACAACCACTGGCGAAGTCAGCACCACGGTGTATAGAAAAGAGACTGATACAAAAGGAATTATCAATTACTATAACAACCACCCAATGCCGCATGAAAGCATTTCTGTTAGGGCACTCCTCCAAAGAGTAAAAACGCATTCCAGTGAACCGGAGGGACGAGTACGAGAAATGCCGCATCTTCGGGACCAAGTGGTGAGGAAAGGATACTCAAACTGCTTCGTCAGTCGCTGCCTCCGCACACACCCACGACGAACAAACGGAAGAAAACCGCCAACACTGTGGCACCCTCTTCCATATATAATGTGTCCGAAACGACGGAACGTACCGCTGGAGAGCTCGGCGCGAGCATCGTTCACAGTCCGACAGCGACCATACGCAAGAAATTCATGCGAGCGAAAGACCGACCAGATGTAGTAATACAACCTGGTGTCGTTTATTAGATCCTATGTCGGGACTACCCTTGCCATTACACAGGACAGACCGGACGACAGCTTAGCTCGCGAATAACGGAACATTAACAGGCAGTCCTGAGAGGAGACCCGTTGTCTGAGGTCGCCACTCACACCCTGGAGTAAGGCCACGAATTCAACTTTGCGAGCACGCGCATAACGGCACGGTCCGGCAAAAATATAGGGCGAGTACTGCTGCAGGCCTGGGTGTCTGACAGCAACTCCATCAACAGATACGTTGATATGCCCCCCCCCTGCTATCATGCGCTCCGTGGACTCAGCCTCATCGCGAACACCACCTCCTCCCTGTGCTCCTTTCCCCCCCATCATTGTTGGACTACAAAACTGCTCAGTCGACGAGCATTCTCACGGTCTCCGACGATGGCCTACTCTACGAGACCGAAAACTCAGATTTATATACATACTGTCCCAGAGATCGCGCATTAAGCTTCTTTATAACTGTACCGTCATCTGGGAACTGCAGGCTATGAGTGCTGGTCTGGGAGACATTTGAGCGTGCTTGCAAGCGCCATGCCTTGAGCTGATACCCGCCTAGCTGGTAGACGATGTCTATTCCTAGCGGACACTCACGATAGGCGCCCGTCAGCATAGCGGAGAACCGGAGGCTGGATAGGGCGGGATCGAATACGCAACCCTGCTTCACTCCACTGCAAATGCTTCCGAGAGTGACACACTCTCCGTGATGTTGGCTGTCATGTAGTTGGCTTCGAAAGTCTGTGAGGCGCTGCGCACATCTGTCGAACGAATCTACTATTTCCATATATAATGTGAGAGTGATCGACTCATGTGCATTATTTGAATCGTTGAAGAGGGCAGTAGCATTTTTTTGTGCGGTGCCATTGTGAATATATCATTTCCATAGTAACCACAGTGCCTCAGTCTATTGAGCCCATCCCTTACCCATCAATACGTTGGCCAAAGAAGAAGCAAGAGGTTTGCCAGACGAGCTCAATCTATTTGCCTATACGTGCGGTGTTGTCAAAATTAGGATAACAGGGACTTTTTGGAACTTCCTATCTTATATCATGTCGACTTAGTGCGCAACGCAGAGAAGTGCAAGCTCCCGCACTCAGCTGCGTCCCTGTTCCTCAACATTGAAAGTCCATGTTTGATGACTAAGTAGGTTTGCCTGTGCTGCAGTCCATCGCAAATTACAATGCACGTTTGGTTAATTTTGTTGTCAGTAAGTTGATAACTGACCGACTTTTAACCTTCATTTCAGCAGAACTGATGAAGGGCCATTCGTGGGATGTACTTTATCATTTAACATAGGTTTACTTTGAGATGACTAGCTGATGGTTTTTTAAATGAAGAGAGTGTATTACCCTTAGGTAGAGGTCTGCCTAATTGGCAGATTCCATCACCAAATAGGAAGTAAGGACTGAATCTACATGATCGATCTTTTTGCTGATAAACCAGACTCATATCGCTAATAATACAGTACAAAGCAGGTTTTGATCACGAAGATTGTCATTTCATCATCCATGAGGACCAGACTCAAGCAACCTCCTCTGAATGTTTTCACATGACGCTTTCTATCCATGTGACATCCGACTGAACGAGATGTGGTTAGGGTCAACTGGTCGCCCAGATCGTGTTTGATGCGTGGGAGGCGGGGATGAAATGTTTCGTCAGCTGCCGTGTCGGATGTCTATTCCAGCCAGTTCAAATCACTCTGAGAGAATTTTTAACTTGTAAGTCCACTGGAGGAATAAATGACGGGAGGTGGCGTCTGTGCAAGTTCTCCTCGCAATAATTAATCCGCGACAATTATGATCGGCATGGCTTAACTAGATTTGCCATTAATTGTTGACATTTACACCATCAACTGAACATTCGCTTCTGCATACCGATCTATTTCAGACATTATGTACAATACCTGCCTCATTACTGAGGCAAAAACATTCACGTAAATTTAGCTTTGGAGACTTCGTTCCATCCATATCCAGCCATTTGTGTTAATAGTGGTCTAAAATTACAAGAATGCCGGGATGTTCCTACAAGTCACTATAACTTCACTTCGCAGATCAAATGACTCTATTAAAAGTTAGTCGGGTTAAGTAAACAAGGAAGAATATTCTCAGGGCTGCAGATGTGGGACCCTCAAGAGTAAACCTGCTTATTCGTCTTGGCTGACGTTTGAATTTTTTCCTGCATAGGTTCCGCGCTGACCCATGATTAGTCTAGATTAGCAAAATATAGCCTGCCACGTCGAAACACGTAATGTGGGAATCTGCATAGCCCGCGGACAGAAGTCACTCAGCTGAACCAAACTAGTACTTCTGTACACCTATGTAATGGAAGGCTGTGTTTAAAAGCGAGACCAAACGTGTAAAGTCTAGCGCCGATGGTCAGGCGGCGTCCACGCGAAATATCCTGTCTTACCCTCCCCTCCCCCCTGAGAGCCAACATACATAAATGGGGGGGGGGTTGTAAAATGCCCTGTACCATTATTTTCTTCTGATTCTGCCGCCGGACCATGATTCTTATCAGAAAAGGAATCAGTTCGTTAGTATCACATAAACGGTCCGCCTGAAATTGCTCATCGGTCAGTAGGAAAGATTTAATACCAAAATAAGCTGAACTGCTTATTATCGTCTGATCGAGTTAGGTGAAATTCGTGGCCCACTCTGTCGTGGGGTGGGAGCTCAAGTCATCATTTCTGAATGTTGCCCTGTGACGCCTTCCACCGATATGACCTCTTAGTGTGACCGACCTGTGGTCGCTGTCAAGTAAATGACTAGACCGCTTGTAGTGCATAGGAAGTGTGGGGACGGCATGCTTCATCAGCTACTGTTTCATCTACGGCCGGTTCAACTCAGTCTGAATGCCTCTTCCATTGGCAAGGCGGGGAAGGTGGAAAGGAGGGGTAGGTGGGTCCTGCGCAATAATTCCTCGCAAAAAGGGATCTGGCAATAATTTGCAAACCAGTTTAAGTCAAGGCTGGGCAGGATTCATCATTACCACTAGTCCAACATTAGCCCCCATATGCTGAACTATTTCCGACATGTGGAAATGTAGATTTCTGAGTCACAACAATACCAGCTCCTTGTGATCGCGGACATGGCATCTACTCCCTCGAGAAAATTTTGACAAGTTTCACCGAGGAGATTACATTGAGTGATAGGTAGTTCCTCTCAGATGGGCGCCGGCATGTGAGTGCCACCAGAAAATCTATAACCTACACATCATTTCAACATTTTTATTGATATCTAGGTTGTTGGATGAGGTCGATGAGCGTTGCGCACTCTCAAGCTGACCATGACGCATGCTTTTAAGGCGTCTATCTAGCTTTTCCTTGGTAAAACTGAACTAAACATATTTACAATGGGTGACGTACCTCACAAAATTTGCCTAGATTACGGAAAGATAACAAACCAAATAAAATCGGTCCGAAGACATCCGACAATGCACTAACTAAGAATGAGGGCCCTCCAGTTTGATTAGAATGCAAATAAAGTATCATAAAAGCTATTTCATCAGTGGGGAGGAACAATTTTCTAAAGGGAAATACAAGAGTTGAGGGCGGGAAAATTCGTGTCCCATGAGTAGACTACAATTTCGGAAATACATAGTGCTTGTACATGCAACAAACGAATTAAGAAAGAAAGGGCATATGCACAGTAATGTTTGATGACCCGCTTTTCACACGCATTTTCATTAAATGCCCACCAATCTCAAGTGTTTAGTAACTTGCCATTTGTTTCTAGATCTTGTCGAGCAAAATCAATGCGCATTACAATTTTCGACAACGACAGGGTGTAGGGCACACAACTTACTTCAGCTAGCATGCGGACCTTGACACCTGTTGAATAGTTGCAGAGGGGGTTTTGTGGATGGGACAGCACGCAGGACGGAGATCAAGAAGAAACAGAAAATAGATAAATTTCTTCCATAAGCCCTATTACGCGCTGTCATTTTGCAAAGAAAATAATTACCATAATTAAAAGGTAAGCAATAGCAATTTTACAAAAATAACGGACTGCGAGTAAATCGTCGCCTGTAAGTCAGGCAGGCAGGGAGGAAAATTTCGGACAATGGAGACGGTGAATAATAAGTAATTTTTACAGTCCAAGACTGAATTTTAAAGTGCATATTTGTAGTTGCCATCTGCCTGTGGATCCTACGCTCCATCGTTACGCACTTTTCGGTCAGATGTGGTTATGTAGTCGCACCTGAGGTAAACAAACCCCAGTTGCCTTTAATACAGGACCGGTGGTAATAGGGGTTTTCAGATGTGAGGCCGGGGAACGCACAGGCGACGAGGTCAAGTAATTGCATGCCAAAGAAAAGCCATGGGGAATGCGCTGTTGTACTTTGAGTGGTTTGGGAATAGATATCCTGAACTCTAACCCTACCTCCTTACTCTAGACCCTAATCCTAACCCCAACCCCTCACCCCTGAAGTAATATATTCATCAAGTGCGGCTAAATAAGCATATCTTACAGTCTCAATGTCCGCAGAGTTCGGTATGGAGTTTGCTTAACTTCGCTCAGCGATGCCACAAAATTAAGAGTTTCAAGAAGTTCACACATTTGCGGGCCGGTCAGTGACTAATAACAGGTCTAATCATAGGCGTACCACTTTGTGCATAGTAAGGGAACTTTTCTCACGTCGAATTTACCTGCGGCATTTTCCATAGGAGGTGGGTGCGTTACGTTTTAGATCTATTTTGAATTGTCAGTGAGAACTTCACGATTTTCCGTGTTTTCAGTTAATTGTTTGTACTTCAGACTCTGTGCTGTGATTTTGTGCCCGTGCGGACTTACTAGGTGAGTCTGATCTGCGGGTTGGCGGAACTATGTCAGGCGTAACAGCGACGACGAGAATGCTGCGTCATGATCTGGGCTGACACACACTTGACCTCCGCCGAGTCAACGAGGCGTGGTTGGGGTCAAGTAAATGGCCAGACCGCGCTGTGTGGGAGGCGGCATGGCTCATCAGCTGCTGTGCCAGATGTCGCCTTCGGCAGTTTCAAATCCATAGAAACGCCCCCTCTAATGTCGCATTCCCAAATGAGCGAACTATAGACACCAAACCGTCATTTGGGATTGTCGACCATTTCAAAACTATTCACCTATACTCCTGTTCAATCCGAGTAGAACCATTAAAAGCACGTAATAGAAATTTCCAACTAATAATAAAGCGGCAAGTATTATCCTGCAAAATTTCTCAAGGTGTGGGCTGTATTCTCCAGTTTAATCCTGGTTAAGTCGCATTGGCAAATGGTTGGTTGTGTCCTAGTGCTTCGGGTTTATTCCTAACATATTGACAGTCCGGCCGTCGATTTAGACGATGCCTACATTGTGCTCTACAGCAGGTGATAATAGGAGGAAGAAATCGCTCGTGTTATTTTAAAGTGACGCTATACTTGCGCTGTATCGGTCGCACTCCCTCCTCATCCACCACCTTCAAGAACGAGTGAAGGAGACCGGAGGCAAGAGAGAGCACAGGTGGCAGGTACGATGAAAACAAGCACCCAGGCGTACCGCCACACCCTATGGTCCACAGTGTACACTGGGCGGGATTTTTTAGTTTCAGTTTATTTGAGGGAAATATAGGTGTTGAACCTTTGAACTCCCTAGTTGT